CAACTACCTCAAATGATGAAGTTTCACTACTTCATCTATTGACCTGCCATCCTTACCTAGCACCCGTTTCCTAAGGACAGCATTGCTTACTCGGTTGTCTCAGGAAACACTAGCAATGCTTTGGAGACACCTATGATCAAAAATCAGTAACCTGCGAATATCTTCTTTTACCGACCATGTTTCACATCCATATAGTCGGACGGGGCAAACTTCTGTACAGAAGAGTTACGACCTCTCAAGATGAAAGCCGAGTTCCTTCGGAAGTCATAAGGCAGATGCCCCTTCTGACAACCAGAATCCTTCCACGGTCTGGGCAGCCAGACCTCATACCTACAAAAGAATACGAGGATGTTTTATGTATACTAATGAATGTTAAGAAGAAATATAGCTAGGTATTAGTTAATCATTTGTATTACTTGTACACTAACTGGTAGTAATTTTACGAACTAACTGCATATGCAATGAGGAACATACAACGAATCGAGGTTCACGGAAAGGAATGAAAACGGTTTATGACAGTTGCACTGCTCAATTCTTGTATCATTTTAAAATTCCAATATTGTTAACTTGATTGAAACTTTCAATATGAATAATTATACGGGAACCAAGTGGCGATGTTAATCGATTTGATTTGAAGGCCTTCAAGTTATCAATCTGACTTTCAGCTAACTAAGTTAGCAAACATAACAGTTATCTGAGTCTCATTTTCGGCATAATCATTGATTATTATTCCTAGATTTAGTATAAAAGATAATTAAGCGAATAATAGAACTTAATCTCATTACTTGTTCAGTCAAGTTATTTGTACCGATTCAAATCAAACGAATTCCATTATGAACAGTAAAATTATTCATTTTTTTAATCAGTCTTTGAAATCTTTATTATCAGGGTGTTTTTGGTCTATTAGTTGAAAAATTCCTAGTATTACAGAAAATCTAGAGTTACAATATAAAATGAAATATTAAATAATAATAGTGAGGAAACAATAAGTTTCGATAAAATGTTATTTAAACTTATCCCATGTGTCGTAAATATTTGTAACAAAACTATTCCATTTTTACCTTTAATGAATGAATGTGTTTTTGAATAAACAATAATAATTATGAGTGATGACGAAATTAGGAGTGAAGATATTTTATAAAAAAAATGAAACAAAATAAAGTCACCTCTTCCTATTCTTCCTCTTTCTCATTCTCTCTCTCTCTCTCTCTCTCTCTCTCTCTATATATATATATATATATATATATATATATATATTACTGTGGGACTTGAAGCTATTTCCAGTTATTTTAAAATAACGCTGAATTTATAGCTTTTTTTAAGTGGACATTTTAAACAATGGCTTCATGTGTTTTTAAAAAGAAATTTAGAATGAAACTACTTTAGTTCTATCTAGTTTATGGTTGATAATTATTATAAGTATGATGCTGATTAAGTACTTAAAGGTTATTAGTTTTTCTAGTTGAAATATGATTAAATTTTTTGTTTTTATGCATGAAATAAAAACAAGTTAAATTGTGAAACAAATTTTATGAAAGATGAATATTCGTTTCGTAAACTTGTATTATAATTATATTGAAATTTATATTTAATAGTAAGAAAATTATAACCAATGTCTGATATCAAATACAAAACGGCAGAAAAGCTATTTTAACCGTATTTATGGTTTACCAGCAGTACCTACAGTGACATATAAGAGTTTGGGCATTTCGTTACAAGGATGATGTGATTCAATCAATGCGTTCAAATTCAATGGCTCAGTTCAATCGTTCCAACTGAATTCCAGTTATGAGAATGTATCTGTATATTTCAGAGTAATCGTTAAGTGCACTTTTTTACCTTTTGACTTGCATCTATTTTGGACAAGGAATATTCGACGGTTATATTGATTTCCACAAGCCGAATGGTTATCTGTGAATTTAGGAAGAGCTGTTACAAAAATCTAGTGAGAAACTATTATCGTTTGGATTGATATCAATTTGAAAGAGTAGTGACCATAATAATTCGTGAGTAAATTTCAGTAACCGAAACACGAAATCTTAATCGTGTAGATGAACGATTTCTTATTAACTGCACCATAGGGGTCATCTCAGGTGCATCAAAACTGTGCTGAGAGAAATTTCTTGAAATTTAATTCATCATTTATTAATCCATATAATCAGATGGTAGTCGAAATAAACAAGAATTTGTAGAAATTGACATTTTTATCCATACAGTTGGCTGATCGTCGTCATGAGCTAGCATTAACCTAGCAGTAACCATAACTCTCATTGAGAAAAATTTATCTACATGAAGAACTTTCAAAATGTCACTAGTATATTAGATTTTCCAAAGTTTTATTCATAATCTTTATACCTTAACTCATATATTTGTTGGACAGATCATAAGCATGTTTCTTACTATGTTTATAGTAGTTAGTCAGTAATAACCATTTAGTTTATACTTTTCATGGACAATATACTTTGAGAACACGTGGTGTTTTTCGTCAATCTTTGCAAAACAAATTCCATATGTGTTCACAATAAATAACAAGTTTTTATTTTAAAATTTTATTACATCTCAATGTCATGAATAGATGAAGAATACTTGATTTCACGTTTATCAATCAATGAATCATGCTCACTGTATAGAAACGTCATGGATTTTTTAATAAATGATATGAAATAATATCGACTAACTTTAAAGCATAAAGTTAGCTAGTGCATATCATTAGAGTATTTTAAGGATACCGTTTATATGTCACTCAAATACATGATCATCTAGTTATTCATGAGCTTTACACCAAAGATACCTATTTTACTTCTGTCCTTTAAATTAATTACGAAAAGACATAGTGCAGTTATCAGTCGTAATCGAAACAAAATCATTACATCATGATTATATATTGCCAGTCATTTTTGTTGGATGTGGGGATTAAACATAACATATGTACAACTCAATTACATGAAACTACAACCAGGAATACTTAACAAGAATATAAAACTCCAAAGGAATTAATGTGATCTCTGTACCACAGAAAAGGTTTAACGTTGACGCTAACTTCAAAGAAGGCTATGTATCAGAAATCTAGAAGCAAAAGATTTTGATATTTACGTCAGCATAGCATAGTGTTCTCCGTTCAGTCTATTATCACAGTTAACCTAAAAAATGAATTTTAGCATATGATCACCTCAATATTGATTTATTTGTTTACCTGCCGTTATCGGACTACGTGTATAGGTTGCTCAAAGAGCGTCCTATCTAACAGACCTCGGGAAGATGATGCAGTTTGTCTAAAAAGAGGCAATAATATATCCATTAGAAGCTCAAAAACAAGACACCATGTAAATATGTGACATGTAATCAAATCGATTCACTGTTCGAATTCATCTATAAACAAAATCGAAATCTACCAAAGGAAGTGAGTTCCCTTCTTTGGGCAATGGTATAGCCTTTCGTCTATACTGGACGAAGCTTGAACTGTCAACAAAATAAAATTATATGACCTCTTCGTCTACCACAATTCCGAACCATAGTTTACCGAATCTGTCACACTGACGAAGTTGTTTCCGCTTCTATGTATTTTCTGATTATAATTAATTTAGTTTCAACATTTTGTCTTGTCATGTCTGGCCGTAATTATTAATCTTTATCTAACTTCTACAAAGTTTTTGTTAAAAATCCAATATCTTAAAAATTAGGTTTTTTATTTCTGAACAAGACTAATGCTTTCCCATTCTATGAATCGTTCTTGGTTCTGTTCAGTAAATTATTTTCGCACACTTGAAATCATCAATCAATCATTGTTAGAACACCATTAGAAAGCTGAAAGCACTAGAAGGTCGTTTCGTGCAAGTATGGGACTCATCAGCCGTTGTCCATCCAAAACTCGTGCATCTCCAAGGATTCGAACCCAGGACCTCCGGTCTTGCACGCGAACGCCTAACCTCTGGACCTCTGACTAACTTCTTTAGGGAATTCTCGGAGTTCTAGTGAGAAGACGTTACCAGTAGAGTTCAACCTTTTCGGTTGTAGGCAGTAACTACCAAAGGCAAAATCCCTTGATCAACCAGAGTTAGACATTAACACCATTGGATGCCGGCCCTGTGGTCCAGAGGTTAGGCGTTCGCTCACAATACTGAAGGTCCTGGGTCGTGCATGCTCACTGCTAGTAAGTCCAATACCAAGAAGAAACGGCCGTCCAGTGCTTGCAGGTTTCTAATAGTGTTCTAACAATGACTGATTGATGACTTCGAATGTGTAAAAACAATAATCTCCATAACTCTAATTACAAAAACTGTAAATTATTGTCATTACTGACAAACAGATTATTGATCAAGGCAGTGAAAAAGGGCATATTTACAATCGTACAACTCTGAGGAAAAATTATGCTTAGAAGAGATCTCTTCTGACCATAACACGTTTTTTTATTTTAAACCACAACTCGTGTTTTCTACTTATTTATTCCATCAGCGTATTTAGTCAATTTTTATAGCTGTAAATCATATCAGAATTGATTAGAGGTATTTTTATAATTAAATATTACAGTTACTTAACCAATTAATTTTATTTTATTAAATTAAATTACAGCTGATTAGTAATGTAAGAGATTTTGACAAAAAATTACTCTGTTTAACAATTTTTCAATTAGTTGTATCTTTTTTTATACATTGAATTCGTCCAAGAATAATCAGTCTACTCACGAGAAATGAGAAAAAAAAGTCTCAGTTTATGTTGTTCACAGATATTTGTTACAAATAAATTTGTCTAAAAATCAAAATTCATGAAATCAACCAGTAGGAATCAATGTTCAAAGATATCCAATAGGATTTATTTTGTATCTAATTTTACAATTGAAGATAGTTGAAAAAGAAATTTTTGTTATTCAGTTAAACAATTTTGTATAAATTATAAAAAAAGTAATGTGAAATGATCAAGGAAAAGTAAATATTTATCTTTTCTTAAAAAATAAAAGGATTCATTTCGAATTTCATTAAAATATATATATTATTAAATAAAACATGAATCAATTTCTGTCTAATTCATTTGATTCTGTTGATGACCATGTAGGAATGAATAGTAAATCTTGCGAAAATAACAGTCCTAATTCAACTAACAAAGTTATTTGTAATACAAGCGTAACCAATCAAACAAGTGGTTTTAATGTAACAGTTAATCAAAATAAATCAATTAACTTGAAAAGATCATGTAATTCATTGAAAACAATATTTGATCGAAGAAAACTTTCTACATCATTATCTGAAACCATTGATAATGAAGAATGGAATAAACAATCACATGATGACGGTTCATTAGCAGTAATATCAAGACCAGTGAGTAATACATCATCTTATATATCTTTTGAAAATCTATCAGGCAGTTACGCGTTGCCGTTGGCATCCCTTGTCCCTGGTGAAATGATAGCAACTACAATATCTAATAGAATATCTTCTGTAAAGAGTACAAATGACATGAAAATGCGAAATAAACCTATATCAACTGATTTATTAAACGCTAGAAGGAAACTGCAAAGACAATGGGCTACATGTAGTTCATTGTGTAACAATAATAGTCCTAACAATACTGCTCATACTACTAACAATCGAGGATTATATGATGCGAATTCAATAACTTCAAATCGTAAGTCTGTAACAACTGAGAAAAAATTTAAATCTCGTTGGTTATTTTTATGGCGTCAGTCTTTTGATCGTGGAATCGATTCTACAACAAATTGGTAAGTGATGAATGTTAAAAAAAGTGTTTCTATTATTTATTAACTGAATAATTATCGGTCGGTTTGAAACCAACTAATCATGCTGTTTTCTGTTATTAGTTTATTGCTTGGAATCCTGCTCCACTTAATTTACTTTGGGAAACAAGGGTAGTATTGTCAACGGTCCTATAAAGTGTGACTCAAAGCCCTTTTGTATAACCTGGTCATTGATAAGTAACATGTCTTATCTTAAGATTCAATATATTTTTTCTATAGATTGTGGTTGGCTTTCTAATAAACTGTGAAAAAAATTTACTTAAGTTAGTTTCAAGCAATAAAATACCATTTTATATTTTTTCTTCAAATGAAAAATGTTTGTTTGCAATTTAGAATACATTTTATAATACAGTTCCAAAACTTAAAGCTATTGACATATTTTGTGACGTAATCGTCTAATGATTTATAATTTAAAATAATGTCTGCCATGAATTACAAGTCTTAGCCAGAAAACTGGAGTCTAGTTCTATTGATTATTCGTTACTCCATATTCCCAATCATTGTAATTTAATACTCATATAAAAACAAAATAGTGGCGGGAAAGTGAAACCTCAGTTATCACCTACTAATGAATGTCATAGAGATAACTGACATGTCCTGTTTTGAAAAGCCTTAGCCGATGCGGCTAAAAGATGTCGGAGTGGAATAGATGTCACGAATGTCAATGAAAGACAGTTGGATAATATAACGGTTTGATTAAAACTGTAATTCTGAACCAGTGGATTAAGATTCTGCTATCTGAATGTGATGATCCTGATAAGAGGTCTGACAGTCTGAAGTTCAGCCCTCGGCTTGATCTTCAAATTACAAGAAAAAAAACAGTGATTTTTGGTTTTCGATGGTTGTTTGTTTAAAGTCAATCAATTAAACAAACTTTTCTGTTGTTATTAAGATAGAGGTTATTGAAAATGTGATCCAAGATTTTTATCTACAGCTATGAACAATTATTGTCATAAAATGAGTTAACACCTATTAATCTTTTTACTGAACAAAGACTCCAAGAGTACATGGAACAGACAGAGAAGACACAGTTTACTCACAAAATATGTACACCTAATTTTCAGACTTTCATTTACCAAACAAGGAGATTGCTGAATGCCTTCTTTACATGCATCCTGTTCTCCAGAACACTTAGATCGTGTCATTCATTTCGATTTTACACTATTCTCTAGGAAACACTCCTCAGCATATTACTTAGAGACCTTAATGCGAATGGTAACCACTACACCGTGAGTATGGCCATGCAGAATTAGTAAATAACATCGTCATAATGAAAAAAAATTTATTTTTCTAATGAATTTAATGTACTCAATAATCCCATGAGATTTTCTCAAATAAAACGGAAGAGATATATTTTCAGAAACTGTGCATTATTCAAAACTACAAACAATCTGTTTACAAAGAGTTCGTGGACAACCATAGCGTACATCATACAGTCTGAACATTTTCACCGTACAGTCACCATCATACAGAAATAAATCTCGTAATGTATTGACAAAATAGTAAACAATGTGATTCATTTTTAGATGAATCAGCTTTCTCTATTTTGACATTTAAAGTACGGGAATTCATAGCTTGAAATCAAAGATAGACAAATGTAGTTAAATACGGGATATATCAGTAGAATTAGGTGCAACACTCACTACTCTTTATAATCTTTCGGTAATTGTCATCAGCATTCAAAGAAATAACAAAGTAGGAAGGACTCTATCTATGTACAAATAACATACACGAAGAGGTAAACTGAAGAAATTTATCTACACTGTATGTTTATGGTATTTAAAGTCTGTTTAGTCGATTGTCTGATATCTACACTTGAATGATTAAAAGTTTTATATTCTCTTGTACTGAGAGATAGACAAATTGTTTTAATAATAAAATTCATGTCGCATAAGTCGCGCAAGTTTGAAAACCTGCAGTGACATAACAATTCGAAAGTTATGTTCTCTTAATTTAGGAACTAGACATTTTGATATTCTAATTAGTGGATGTACACAGATTAGTTAGGGTATATTTTTAAAAGTCAAGTAATATTTTTTTTAATTAAGATCCTAACTTGTTTACGAAAGTCTCCAAGAAATTAGTAACATTTTCTATGCTACAACATTGTACAGATTTAATGCGTTTGTGCTTGAATTTTTCAAATTTATGCGAAGCAACATATAGATGGATGTTAATTTTATTTCATAGTACGTGAATCAATATTGATTTACAGTGATTATTCTAGATTATGTATATATATAAGATAAACTGGTACATTCTGACTGTTCTTGTAGCATTTAACCAGTAGAATTCTTCGTTGACATTGGATTTTGTTTGTTAATGTATCTTGTTTTAATGCATATCTTGCTTATCTTCTAATATGAGTGAATTTTATTTCAATCTTTTTAAATAAGCCACTTTTATGGTTTATATATTTAATCTAACAAATCAGATAATGAACCAAAAAAAAACAGTTTAATATAATTCTTTTTTATAACTAATTTCATTGTTATTTCTGTTCTGATGAAGTACTATTCTCTTCATATTGTACTACATTCAAAATATAGAAAATCATCTTTCCGATGACCTGTTTGTTTTTATAAGTTAATAAATTTAATTGAACTATATTCAGTAGTTTTTTTGAAACCATGAATCGATCAATGTTAGACGACCATTAGAAACCTGGAAGCACTGGACGGCCGTTTCGTCCTGGTATGGAACTCTTTCGCGAGGGATCTCCGAGTTCTAGTGGGAAGATGTGACCAGTGAAGTTTAGCCTGTTCGGGTGTAGACACTAACTACCGAAGACTGCGTATGAGGTTGCGCAACTCCGTGAATTGATCAAGTTAGACATTAACACCGTTAGATACCGGCTCAGTGGTCCGATGGTTAGGCGTTCGCCTACAATACCGACGGTCCTGGGTTCGAATCCTGCGGGATGCAGGAGGAGTCCCACACCAGGACGAAACGGTCGTCCAGTGCTTCCAGGTTTCTAATGGTGGTCTGACATTGATCGATTCATGGTTTCAAAAAAACTTAACAATCTTCATAACCCCGTAATATATATTCAGTAGTCTCAGAGAATACTCGAAGGTTAACGTAAGATAAGATGCAAACAAAGATCGCAATCAGACATGTGAACTAATTATTATTGGTTGAGTGGTTTAAATTTCAAATGTACATTGCGGGACCTAAAGATGGGGTTATTCATGATCACTGTTGAGTAGTACTTTACTAGAATGAAAGATTTCTTTAGTCACTCATGACTTTCAGTGATTGTTTAACGTATATTAGTTCGAGATCACATTCACAATCAACAATCGCCACAAACCTAAATCCTGAAAAAACAAAGATTCTTAACAAACTTATTATTGTTCCAGTTTAAAATCATAATGGTGTAGATGGTAATGGGATGTTCCACAGTATTTCATTTTTACTTTTTAACTGTCAGTGTATGTTGAACAATATTTACCAAATCAGTCAACAACGAAATAAAATGGAAAAGTATTATCGTCGACCAATTCTCATCAAGTTATATATCTATAGACTCATTATAATGGTAAAAGTGAATGACAATTTTCAGAATTGTAAAATAAAGAGTGAGAGTTTCTAATCGAACAAGACTGCTTGCAATTGTGAATGTTAACATGTTAGCATACAGTTGATATCTGGATCAGCTTGTATGTCATTTGTAATTGTAATCAGAATAAAGAAAAAATGGTTACTTATTATGCAAGAATTAATTTCTGTCAAATTTCCAATCTGAGATTGCTCGATAGATAAAGTGCCATAGTTCTAGGGTACATTTTAGATTTATGTCTATTCATATAGATCAGGATTACATTTATCGCATAAAAAATTAAAGATTTATGATTCAATCTTCAGAAAAGGCATAGCAGCCATGTAGACTGCCTCTACTGGATCCCGATTTATGAAAAATAACGCAGAATCTAATTGTTAGAGCTATTTGAACATAATGACTGACCACCAAATATTGTTTAAAAAAAGCTGTTGTTGAATAAACTAGAAAAATCTGCTTCATTAGTACCAGAAATTACTTTTCAATAAGTGGAAGGTTTTTTTAAAATTTTCCAGTACACTTATTCAAATCAGTTTTCTCTAGTATTTATTAAAAATCTTTGCTTAATCGATCTACATGTTACATGTTCAACAGTAATTTGTCCTGTTATGCCTATTTTTAAGTGAAAATATTATAAATCTAAACGCAAAAAAACTCATCAGCTCGTCCAATGAATTATTTAAGTATGGGAAATATTTTAGTCTTCATAATGAACAAATTGAATTTTATCAACCGCATATAAAGTTCAATATTTTAAAAATATCAGAATTAAGAAAACCAATGGACTGAATGAAAAATGGAACAAAATGTTTCAAGCAATTCATGAAATGATTTATGCTTCAGTGGTTTAAAAGCAAAAAAAAATGACAAATGTTGACATTGAACCTTTTGGCTGATTGTTTCCTGTTTTTGAACAAAAAGAAATAGATTTTACTGTGGAATAATTATTACATGTAATAATGAAAGCTTTTGTGATTGCACGTAAAACACATTATTAATGGAGTTGATTTTTAGACTACAATTAAATTGGAGTATGATTTTATTGACAGTTCTTTTATTTCAATGAGTGATTTTTGTGACTAGAAAAATATTGAAGTCTGTAAATTTGTCTAAAAAACAATGGAGAAAATATTTATACATTCCAACTCCATGCTCACTATTTGAGAATACATTAGAATGAACTGTTTTGTTAAATGTGTGTAAAATACAGACTTACATTTCAAATGTCAGTCAGTCAGTTTTACAACGTAGAACTTCGTGAGTAAGTACATCAGTTCAAGTTGCCATAATACTATAGCACAGACATATAACTGTCAATTTAAATCCCATAGTAGTAGAGGTAGTAAAAGTATTAGAAGTAAACGGAGAGATTAGGGTTCAGAGATGTTATTCAAGAAGTATA